GGGTGCAGGTGGCAGAGAGGCAGCAGAGGGAGGGAGCCACTGCAGCTGCGGCCGCCACAGCAGACCCCCCCCCACAACCAGGGTCCATAGAGCCCCCCACTGACCACTAGGCCAAGGTAAGGTGACCCAATTTTTAAAACAAAATCCGGGGACATTTTATCCTGATCCCTGGATCCACCGACAAGCGCAGCCTCCCATCTCCCACGTTGTTAGAAGCTGCATACAGCGTGTGCTGGTTACTACTTAAACCGGCGCACTGTGTGCAGCTTCTGTGAAGATACGCTATTAGCGTAGCTGGAGCGATGCAAAATGCACAGCCGGCTTCCTCGCTATGCTAATAGCTAATAGCATATCTTCTCAGAAGCTGCACACAGCGCCCTGGTTTAAGTAGTAACCAGCACACGCTCTGTATTCAGCTTCTAACAGCATGGGAGATGGGAGGCTGCGCTTGTCGGTGGATCCAGGGATCAGGTGAGTATTCAAAAATAAAAAATTGGTTTATTTTATTTTCCCGGAGACATAATTTGTCAGGGCACAGGTCTCCTCAATCCAAGGACTGTCCCTGGAAATCAGGGATGAATGTAGGGCTGCAACAACTAATCGACTGAGTCGATTATAATCGATGATTGAAAAAGTTGTCAACATTTTCAATCATCGATTAATCAGCTTTCGATTAGTTGGCCGTGTTCACGTCTTAACACACGCTGCGTGCCACACCTCTTCCCTGCCTCACGCTTGCTGCTGCCAGAACCGCCCATCCGCATCCACGCTGCACCTCCTACCCGCCTCATGCTTGCCACTGCCAGACCCGCCCGCATCCACGCTCCACACGCCGCACCTCCTCCCCGCCTCACGCTTGCCGCTGCCAGACCCGTCCGCTCGTATCCACGCTCCACACGCCGCTCCTCCTCCCCGCCTCACACGCACCGCCCACATCCACGATCGGAACAGGTATTACTGGGATAGTGGGATTTGTAGTCCTCTATAGCTGATGGTACATTGTGCTGTATATTATACCATCAGCTATAGAGGACTACAAATCCCAGCAATACATTATACACTGTATGTATAATGTAGGATGAATGGTCACCCTACACCAGGGATCCTCCACTAACCACTAGGGATATCCCCCACTAACCACCAGGGTGCCTCCACTGGCCACTACAGAGCCCCCACTAACCACCAGGGAGCCACCACTGGCCACAGTGGAGCCCCCACTACCCACCTGGGAGCTACCACAGAGCCACCACTAATTATTAGGGAGCCCCCACTGGCTACCACAGATCCCACACTGACCAGCAGAGAGCCCGCACTGACCACCTGACAGTCCGCATTGGCCACCTGAGAGCCTAATTAGGGAGCCGCCTCTGCTGCACCCACACGCGCCCGTGAAACTCTCTGGACCCCTGGTGAGAGCCCGCAGAACTCTCCTGAGACCCTGGAGACATCAGGCGGAGAACCCAGAGCAACAGAGTATATCACTTCATATTATTCTGCATTGCTGTAATATGTATTGCTGGGATTTGTAGTCCTCTATAGCTGATGCTATTCTGCATTGCTGTATAATGGTAATTCTGCGAATTGTAGTTCTTTATAGCTGTTGGTAGTCATTATTGCTGGGATTTATAGCCCTCTATAGCTGATGGTATTCTGCATTGCTGTGTAATGTATTGCTTGGAATTGTAGTTCTCTATAGCCAATGCCATTCTGCAATGCTGTACAATGTATTTCTGAGTTAGTGGCAGAACTACCAGGGTCGCAGCAGTCATGCACGCGCACAGCCCTGACGTGGCATCCCTACACTACCAGTGTGCTTTACATTTCCTAAACTGATAAATACATTCACACTACTGTTATATGGATGGCAAAAGTGGCAGACAGGGGCGGGGAGAAGGCGGGGGAAGAGGCAGAGCGGGAGGCAGCCAAGTTGCTGCACCATGGGCCTCTGGGTTGTACTTGCCCCCTTGGCTAAAAGTTGCCAGTCAGCCCCTGCTTGAAGCTGACACCTTTTTTCTTCATAATACTAGGTGAGGTTGTGCCTGCCCTGCCTCCCCTGACCGCAACCTGTCCCTGGTCTGTTGTGCATTTTGGGTGTTGTCTTCACTACACTTTTCACGATGCCCTGGTGTACAGCCACCCTATAGTAAATATGGCCTTGCAAGTACCTTGAACCGTGAGGTAGGCATCTTTAAACGATGCCGAGAGGCTGCTGCATCTAACTGTCCCAGAATTGCTCTTGTTGACGTTGATGATAGTCATTTCAGTGGTGAACGCTCCATCGATGCTATTTGTGCTGTTCCTTACTACTATATGGTTGTTACTAACAAGGGTCCCTGAAGTGGAGATGGTGACAACATAAACATCTTTCAGGTACCAGGAAATGCTCTGCCATCCAGTCCGTACGGTGCAGGTGAAGCTGGCATTGGAACCAGTGAGGGCCGTCACATTCTGAGGACCTTGCAAAATGTCGGAGCATGATGCAAAATCTGTGAAGTAGAAAGAACAAGTCTGTAGACAAACCGAAATGGCAATTATTGAGCTAAACATCTTCCTTAGGACAGGAACCATGAAGGCCTTATAAATTACTATATTATTAAAAATCAAAGTAAAATAAGTTTGTTAAAACTGTACTCCAACCAAAACCTTTTCTTCTGTTTAGTTTGCAATAGTTTGGAAAACAGATTCGTTATCAGGTTTTCCTGTGTCCCTGTTGGGAAGGATTCCCCCTTATTGCTTTTGTGGAGTACATTCTCCATATGTACTACAGAGTATACTGGGTGACTGTCATGGGCTTCCAAGCAGATTCTCCGTAGGAGTATGTAATGGTGGCAGTTTGGTCCATCTCCTCCCGCTGTAGTGTGTAATAGAGGTCCAGTTCTGTGAATATGCTGACCTGCGTTATCAAAAGCTTAGAATAAAGGCCAATCCCGTCATGAGAATAGCAGAAGCTATAGGACATTAGCTAGCATCTAGGGTTTCAGCTTAATGGAAAATTATAGACACTCATCGGTTATGCTATGCCTCATACGTTTCATTGAAAAAGTTCATGTCTGAGTGGAAAGTCAAAGTGGGCATCACCAGTTTCCTGGCCTGGTAGCTGAAAGAGCAGACAGAAGGTGCGGCATAAGGTGCAGACCTGCAGGCTCAGAAGTGTTGTCAACCACCTCAGCCATACAGTGCAGCCATGGTGGGTGTACCATTAAGGTATGTATATTACTTGACACATGTTTTGGCTGCAAACATATTTCTTATAGCTCTGTTTAGAACCAATACTCAGCTGTTTGGCTGAAGTTGTCCATAAAGTTGCCCACATTCACAGCTGTGCCCTAATGATTTTCCTTAGACTATTATACATATATAATATCTTCTGGTCAACAGCACAGTGTCCCTGTTACTACATTGGCCGCTTTCTATACATACAATAACATCCAGAGTTTGTGTTATTAGATATGGTGGCTGCATTCATTTTCTCTTTTAAAGGCTCTTTCCCTTTTTGTAACCCGTGGATAACATACTTCCTCTCCCTTTATGTCTACACTTATTTCTCCACTGTATCTATGAACGGAGCCATGATTGTCACACAGGCTGGACTTCAAAAATGTCTACCTTTGTTAATTTCCATTACATGGTGGAATGTTGGACCTCGTGTTTACAAAAGAGAGATAGCATTGTTTTTGCTGTCATTTCATCTCACAGGAAGTGACAAAAACAAGGCATCTCTGGCTAGATCACCAGGTATTTTCCGTGCTTGATTAAAATGTTCTTACAAAGTGAAAATGAAGGTAGCCACCACATATAAGCCACCACTTCCATGCCTCTAAGCTCTTTCTTTTCATATAAAAACATCTATCACTTAGCAGCATCATGTCTCTAATACTACGGACGCTAAGACATGGCCCTTTAATGATGCAATGTACATCTCTAGTTCTGTACACAATAACCATAACAATCTACAACTGCTGAAAATTGCCCCATAATTGCTGCATATCTCATAGTTGGTGGTGCGCCATCCGTCTCAGCGTTGATAGACTCGCCAAAGGGGCTTCTATCACATTTGGTTGATTTATTTCTGCATTGACAAGTGTCGGGATTTCAGCCATTTTTTTGATCTGATATGAAATTCTCATTTTGCCTTTTTGTATTTTTCACTGTTGAAGTTTTGCCGTTTAGTCCAATGTCACACTGTCAAGTTTATATTTCCTAGAGGGGAACGAGAGCAGACCTGTGAGCAGTTCTAATCTATCACAGTAACACTAAAAATAATAAAGGACACAGCTAAATGGATATTGTATTCCCCAGTGAAGTCGCCACCAAGAGTTCCGCAGGTATCATGAAGTCACCTATGGAGATGAGGTCTCTTAAAGGATAAGTGCACTTTTTAAAACACACAAGCTATTTTAAAATCTGGGTTTCCTGTAAAACCTTTTACATCGCCTCTTTCTTATTCATTTATCTGAGAACTATTATCAAGTTCTATCAATTCATATACTTTATCTGTTCACTGATCAGTGATATTTTATCATATAGGTTGAGCTCGGTGGGTTGACTTTGACCTTGGTGTCTTGAATACTCTTTCTGTAAGATCTCCTTTCCATAACTTTTTTCTCTGATTACGTCTACCTGGGAAGATTATTATTATTATTGTAACCCCTCACCCTCACCCCCAAATGCCTGGGGTCAGGGGCGGACTGGGCCCCCCGGGCCTCTCCGATGCCGTAGCGTACGGCCCCCGTGACCCCCACTGTCGCCGGCATCCGATGCGGCATCTGTGATCGGCGGCCGCTGGGTCCTCGACTGGGGTGGACCCCCAAAGGCAGGAAGGGCTGACATCCTTTTGGGATGCAATCAGTAAATTGGGCGCCAGTCACTTTAAAGACTTTTTAAATGCTTTATTGTAGAACATTCAAACTGGAAGAGAGAGTATAGGGCTTCAGACTTCCATACCAAAATACACGCCAGACTCACCGATACCTTCAGGCTTGCACAGCACAGAAATAAATACTTTAGTAGAATAGAGGTTGACACTGTGCAGTAGAGCAGCTGAATGATATGCATGAGATCTTCCCTGTGAGAGACACCAGACTTGTTCCTGAGGTCCATGCCATCCTGGCCTTCCTGGCACCTCTTGGAGTCTGGTTCTCCTTCCCTGATAGTTGCAGGGCCCAACTGGGTGCACATGTGGCCTCCTTGAGGCTTGAGGCATAGTCAGCCTTTACAACCTTGTACATATCCCCCCCAGGCCAAGCCTTGGGGCGGACTGCCCTGAGCACATGGCAATTCCTGAGTATTTATGCACTTCCTCAGCATGCACAACTGGCCATGAAACTCCTAGTGATTGGTTGGTGAGGCATGGGCACTCCTAATGTTGCCCTATTGTCTTCCCCACACTGTGGCAGTATCACATACCACTTACAGGTAGGTGCAATCAATAGCAGAACACCTAGAATTAATCAGATGGTGCCAGACTTATTACAGTGCTAGCAACACTAAATTTAGGGTGGAAGGGGCTACATTATTATTATACCCGACTCTTTAGGTCTGGTAGGAATGTTAGGAGAGACATCAATTTAACATTTTTTTTTAAATAAACAGAGGGGTTCCACTACAAAGTCATACCAGGCCCTTTAGTTCTTGTAGGGATTCTAAGCGGGACCTCAACACCCAAAAAAAAAAAGGTGGGTTCCCCCTCAAATCCCATACCAGACCCTTGATCCGAGCGAGCGCCCCCCCTTCCCTGCACCATACCAGGCCACATGCCCTCGACATGGGGAGGATGCTTTTCCAGGTAGGGAGGGGGCGGAAAAGCACCTTGTCCCCATGGCAATCAGGACAAGGGCCTCTTCCCCACAACCCTGGCCCGGAGGTTGTGGGGGTCTGCGTGCAAGGGGGGCTTATCTGTATCTGGGTGTCCTGTGAGTCAACACATCCTATACAGTGTATTGGATGTGAGGATGCCAGGGAACATACCATTGCTAGAGCGGAGTAGGAGACAGGCTTCAGAGACCGGTCTAGGAGCCAGCTGGGATTGTGGTTTAGGTGAGTATAATCTTATTTTAGCTCCCTAGGCAAAATGAGCACTTAACCCTTGCAGTGTGGGGCTAGCCCCACTGCAAGGGTTAAGATTAAGCAATTTCAGACCTTCGTGAGATTTAAAGAATGTTTACCTTACCTTGCATGAAACACAGGAGGACAATGATCAGTGCACAGATCCCTTTACTTCCTTCCATCTGATAGTGTGCGATTCAGCACCTGAAACACAGATCGGAAAAGATCTAAGATAAGCCACTTGTAATGTTCAAACACAACTGCTCCATAGTCATATGAATGTGTTCTCGTCATGTATTTGTCTTTCTTATCTTCTTAGTAGAAAATAATGTAAATGAGGAACTTGCTTCTAACCTTGAAGTGAGTTTTTAGGAGAAAAAGCTGTGTGATCGTTAGAATAAAAACTATTGATGGAATCAGCTTCTTCTGCCAAATGTGATTTCCCAATTTTGTCTTTTTATGTCTGCCACAAATGCTCATCCTCGGCTGGGATTCTGCCATTACCTTTTAAAGCGTTAAGCTTGCCATATGCATTACAATCTCTGAACGATCCCCGTTAGATTTATTTAAATTACATGGTGCCAGTGGCCTACCTGAAACCCTATTCGGTGTCTATGTTGCCAGGCAGGTCTTTGCACCACATAGTCATTGCTAGATTTAAATGAGATTGGATGTTCCATTGGTTATGTGTAGCCAGTTTAAAGCCCAATGCAACTTGCCCAACAGCAGCAACAATAAAAATAGCAGTTTTCAATGCAATATTCACCTCCTCTCTGGCCATCAAACATGTACGATTCGTTTCATTCCGAATTAAAATTCATACGAATTTTGTAAAATTCAGACACACATATATATATACTGTATTACCAAAAGTATTAGGACGCCGGCCTTTACACGCACAGGAACTTTAATGGCATCCCAGTCTTAGTCCGTAGGGTTCAATATGGAGTTGGCCCGCCCTTTGCAGCTATAACAGCTTCAACTCTTCTGGGAAGTGTAGTGAAGTAATAAATAGCATTACTTCACTACAGGAAGGCATTCACAATGTTTAGGAGTGTGTCTGTGGGAATGTTGGACCATTTGTGAGGCCAGGTACTGATGTTGGACGAGATGGCCGGGCTCGCAGTCTCCGCTCTAATTCATCCCAAAGGTGTTCTATTGGGTTGAGGTCAGAACTCTGTGCAGGCCAGTCAAGTTCCTCCACCCCAAACTCCCCCATCCATGTCTTTATGGACCTTGCTTTGTGCACTGGTGCGCAGTCATGTTGGAACAGGAAGGGGCCGTCCCCAAACTGTTCCCACAATGTTGGGAGAAAGAAATTGTCCAGAATGTCTTGTTATGCTGATGTCTTAAGAGTTCCCTTCACTGGAACTAAGGGGCCAAGCCCAACCTCTGAAAAACAACCCCACACCATAATCCCCCCTCCACCAAACTTTACATTTGGCACAATGCAGTTAGGCAATTACCGTTCTCCTGGCAGCCGCCAAACCCAGACACGTCCATCGGATTGCCAGACAGAGAAGCGTGATTGGTCACTCCAGAGAACACGTCTCCACTTCTCTAGAGTCCAGTGGCGGCGTGCTTTACACCGCTGCATCCGACGCTTTGCATTGCACTTGGTGATGTAAGGCTTGGATGCAGCTGCTCGGCCATGGAAACCCATTCCATGAAGCTCTCTACGCACTGTTGTTGTGCCAATCTGAAGGCCACACGAAGTTTGGAGGTCTTTAGCTATTGACTCTGCAGACAATTGGCGACTTCTGCTCACTGTGCGCTTCAGCATGCGCTGACCCCGCTCTGTCATTTTACGTGGCCTACCACTTTATGGCTGAGTTGCTGTTGTTCCTAGTTGCTTCCACTTTGTTATAATACCACTAACAGGTGACCGCGGAATATTTAGTAGCAAGGAAATTTCACGGAACACCTGAATCCAATGATTTGGAGGGGTGTCCCAATACTTTTGGAAATATAGTGTATATATACACACATACACACACACATGCAGTTCATATATTCAACTGCATTTAGCAGTATAGGGCTGGTAATCACTTTTTGGTGGGGAAAGGGGTTGTACACCCACAAATACATCCTGCCATAATTAATATATCACCCTTCACCGTCTATTTACAATATTAAGGCAGAGGGTGCACACTCACAGGAAACAGATTGCAGAACATTATCATCAAAATTAACATCTGTTCCCCACTTATATTCTTATATCTGATTTACTTTTGTGTCACTCAGGTTTTTTTAATATATTTTTCTTCACTACGCATGGAGCTCGCCAATTCTTTAGCAAGCACATTTTACATCTGCACAGGTGATGATTGTACAGCAAGGAAGTCCAAGCACATCTGAAATTAAAGGGCATAAACTGCAACATTCCCTTTCTTTTTACACACGAAAACAAAATAAACTTGACTAAAAACGATGAAAGTTGGCCTTTAAAGTATTTTTTAGTATTTCGGAAAGGCTGCAGTGTAAACAACAGAGCACAGCACAGCCCTCGTTTAAAGCCCAACGTGTAACAAGAAAATTAATACTTTTATTGTTATTTAATTAGCGAGCACCTGGGATTTGGAAATTCCGGGAAGATGAAGGTGAGGTGCCAAGCTTTGCCGAGGCCCTCTATGGAAAATGTAGGCTGCAGGGCGCCCGGTTTGCTGCCAGCTTTGCCTTTCCCATGACTCACTGCAGTAATTAATTTTCACAAGGCCGGCCAATGCTAATTACACATAAAAGTATCTTCGGCTGGGGGGTCCGCTGGATATCTGCTTCATGCAGGGCCAGATTCCAATTATGTACCCCCTGTGATGTCCCTATGACTTTCCAGCTTCCTTTCATATCCAGGACATTTTGCTCTGGGCTTTGGAAATTTGACCCTTAGAATGTTCCTTTCTTGTATTGTCCAACCGAGCTATAAAAATCTTCACTTTGTGCGCCACAAATTAACATTTTGTCTTAATAATCAATGGTGATTGAATTTGATTTAAAGAGAAAATATTATAGTGACGTATAATTTTTTTTCTTTGAAAGTATACAAATTGTATAAACTGAACTTATTTGTTGAATAAATATTTTATACAGGATGCATCCATAATACTCAGGTTGTATAATCTATCTATCTACTGTGTATACATGTTTGTTATTGGGCAGTAGTTGGATGGGAGATCACACTTGTACAGGGCCCTTTTGGTAACTATATCCAACACTGACCAGAAGCCATGCCGGCCCCATTAAAAACTGGAAGTGAAGGGAGAGTTCCAGGGTATTCCAAAGATTAATCTTCATCTATCTATCTATCTATGTATCTATCTATGTATCTATCTATCATCTATCTATTGGATGGGGGGCCACACTTGTACATGTTTGTTATTGGGCAGTAGTTGGATGGGAGATCACACTTGTACAGGGCCCTTTTGGTAACTATATCCAACACTGACCAGAAGCCATGCCGGCCCCATTAAAAACTGTAAGTGAAGGGAGAGTTCCAGGGTATTCCAAAGATTACTCTTCATCTGCACCTATCTATCTATCTATCTATCTATCTATCTATCTATCTATCTATCATCTATCTATCGCCATACGATTTCAGCTGACAACAGAAAGAGATCATGCTGCCTCACCGCGCCTCCTGCCTCTTATTGTATGATGAGCAATGGATGCTCTGAAATATATGGCTGAATGGTAATATACTAACACAGAGGAAATGTGTAAAATAGTGATTTGTTTCATTTTTTCTTTTTTGCCACAATATAATTTTACACTTCGCATTCGTTTTATTTAATACCATAACAACAGACAACCATAAAAAATGCACCTTTGACACTTTTACGGGCTAGTTAAATTACATTTATCTTTACAGCAGTTATACAATGTACCGGTATTGTAATATAATAAAATATTTTATGGTGAGAACAGTGGCGTGAGCTGGTAATACAATGGCGCCATCTGGTGAGCAAAGGTGCAAACAGCACTGCTTATTATAGTGCAAAATTGTATATTTGTATAAAGAGAAAAAGATGTAATATGCTGTCCAACTTCCAATGCTCCATCCTTCAAAGTACTGTGCCAAAAATACCAGCTCTTTCCAATTAGCAGCAGCAGTTAAGATTAACATGGTGCTGCTAAGTTAACATTGTGAGAAGCTCACAGTGTGCAGTGACATCAGAGGAAGAGGAGAGGAGCCGGTACAATTGTGCAAGAATGAAGGGAAGGCCGGAGTTCAGCTTCATACCGGGTATATCCAGGCTTTCTGCCGGAAAGGCTGACTGTACTTTGACTCTCCACATTCTTGCATACATGAATATTGTTTTGTAGTAAATGACACAGTCCACGTATTGGGCAGGTTAGATATCATATGACTTGCCCCTGTACTTGCAGCATTTTGTTTTCTTGCAGAATGATCATTTTTTTGTGTGCCATTGCTTTAATACCTGACACCATACGTCAGTCATTTCTCCCTCCGGAGTGCTTGGTGTGTGCAGTAGGCTGATCATTGCTAGAATGCACATAATAATGTATAATGATACCCAATGGAATGCAGGCGAGTGCTTTATGCAAACCATATTTTCTCTCTTAATAAGTGACAGTTCCCATAAGATTGCCAACATGGAGACATTTACAGCCACCTAAAGTATCTGACAGCGAAATACTCCTATTAACACCTTCGCTGCTGGTTCCTGAGATGTATCTTGTTCCCAAACTCACAGATGTAACGGCAGAGCGCCATGTTTGATGACTGGGGGCGCACTGAGGAACCTGGCCTTGGGGCAGCAGAGAGAGTAAATCCGGCCCTGTGTGTGAGTATATAGCATGTTTTTATCAGGGGTTTATTTATAATA